CTTCAACCTGGTATTTTTTTTAGATTTAATTTTTCATTCTTTTCGTCTGTTTTTTCGAGTTTAAAAAATGTGAGCTGGCTGGAGCCTTCATCCCTTGTCTATTTCTTACACTAGATACCAGCCGATACCCCCCCCCCTCCCCCGCTCATAGAGACTGCGTACTACAGTTGATTATAGTTCCTGGGCTCCCTGTGGTAACATTAGCAATGCAAATACACACACAGACGCAGTAACTGCAAAAACTTCCATTGTGTCTCAGTCTCTCAACTGTGATTGTGTGATTCGCACATGAGAGTCAATAAAACAGGATCTACATAGCGCGTTAGGTCTATATAACTCGGCCATAGGCGATAAGAAGCGAAGTACATGTGCTCGGTATTAGCCTAACCCCACCTGGTCGGTAGAGGGCTCTGTCGTCGGTACCATCGGGCTAAAGAGGATTTATTTTGAGCAGGATATATGTCTGGCGAATAAAACCCATTTGTATAGATAATCTATTATATATTTACAACAGTATTCTAGGGGACTGATATACACTAAACTTGTTAGTATGCCATTATTTTCAATTTGATTTCCATTACAGGTTTCTGTAAATGCGTAGCTCGTGGCTAGACGCTCTGCAAATACCGCCCTTGTGCAGATAACATTTTGTTCTGCTTTTAAAGAAAACATTTTCCCGGTACTGCTACCTTGCGCTGATTAGTGCCGTTCGGTCTGAATCCGAAAGGGGGACTTATGTTTTGGGTTTCGTCGGTCCGTGCATCCATCCGCCTGTCATCATTTCTCGGACATGCCCGGTGCCGATGTTGTTCATCACCGATGAAATGCATTAGATGCAGACAAAATTACGACATCTCCAAACATCATATTGACTCGCACTAAAATTGATCGTTCATACCAGTGCTGTGTCATGCAATGCGATATTGAAGGCTGAAAGATGCCCCACAAAAATGAATGCTGCCACAGTCCTTCTATATAATGCGGGCTCAGAATGGCGTCTTCTAATTCGATACAAATGAAACAAAATGTGAATTCGCTACGCAATTTCAGACTTGTTGACGTCATTGACACGGTTCAGTTAATGGTTTACTTCTTCGCTGCTCCGTCAAAACTTATAAATATTATTGCACTGAGTGTTACATGTATCGGTTTTGTAACATTGTAGACGCACCTCAGACTGTGTGACGCCAAAATGGACAAACATCGGAGACATCTAGGTCGTTGCCTCGCCATGTTACAAAAGAGCGCAAGAGCATTCTGAAAACGTTTTCAAACGGAAAAACATATGCAAAGATTCGTCAAAAGAAAAATATAATTGTCCACAAAAAATGACAAAAATTGCTACATATTGAGTTTCAAGACAATGGTTTGTAGCTGATACAAAAAGAGCAAGTAATTATAATAAAAATAACCTAAACTAAAGTATTCCTGTTATTGTCATGAGGTCCACCCGAGGTTGCTGATATTTATTCTATGAACGCCATCATTGTTCAAACATTATAATGTATGGTTGTTTTTTATATTTTGTTTTGACAAGTTTTGACCAAATGTACGTAACTTAGCAAGATCTTCATCAACAAGTGGGTTTTTTAATTTGAGAAGGGTGACTAAAGGTGACTTTCGGCGCTCAAGGTGTTAATTATGTAAGTACTAATAATGAATAAATGTCGGTGATTTAAATGACACCTGCTTTTTATTAAAGTTGTAATGTTTATCAATCTGTTGACATTATTAGAGTCTAGCATTTCCCGAAAGTTTTGATGATTTATTACACAGACAGTGACGTTCATCTGCTCTGACAGTAATGAATATACAACTAAAATTCCAAGATTTGAAGCTCAATTGTGTCAATATCTCATGGTATTTTCACGCTAGACGCATGACAATCGAACTTTGTATGAATCTTATACCCATGAACGATATAACTAAGTCTGACATTATTTGGATACAAAATACTCAAGTTATTAACACCGCGAACAACAATAACAGCAAAACTGCCGACAGACATTTCCCAAAGACCTTTGCTCTTCATATTAATAACACGGGCGAGGGTGGAAATGACAGGAATGGGTTTGTTGTGTCGAGGGTAAAGTAGTGTTGTGTATATGTCTGTTGTTTCTTTCTTGACTGTATTGTCGATTGCTGTCGGTCGTTTGTTCTGTTTTTTGGGCTTGTAAGTTTCCACACATGCCACGTGACTGTATTTCATAATATTGTGTAGATCATTTCTACTTTGTGTGCTGTTTTCCTTTATGTTCTTTGGTCGATGATGTATTGCCAATGTATGATTATTGTGATTCAAATGCAATGTTCTATAAACACAAATGTTATAATCACTTCCCACCCAAGGTATAGCAATCTCGCCTATTTCTTGAGAATGTCTAGCATGGTTATTACATTTCTCTATCGCGACATTATAGCCGTAACTGTGTACTTCGCCCTCACCGACCGACTAGAACGAAAACTACGCCCATTGGCGAAGGCGCTGTAACATACACCGCACCTACGGTTTCAGGCGACCAAAACTCGTACATAAGATCTATGTGAAACCCAGGAATCGTTTAAGGGTATTTAAATGCACTCATTTAGTGGTTTGGTGTCTTATTTAGAGTCTTGTATTTAAATATGCAATTTAAAGAAACGTGTCATTTAGGGCACAGTCATGCTATTCAAAGGAGAGGTCTCATTTAGACACATACTATGGTTTAGGGTATCCAGCGGGTTACATTTGGGCGTTTTC